AAATATTCATGTTCAATGTGTGAAAAAATGGCCTGAAAGTGGCTCAACAGAAAGTCTTTCAAAAATATAAAAATGTCAACATTCAACCGATATATTCAACACGCCGGCTTCAGCAGACGTTTATTGTTTGCACGCTCTGACACAGAGTAAGAACAATAACAGTGAGGTGGGTTCAGTGAGCACTGACTGCTTACGTCTTGGTAGAGAAAGTTGTCGAGTCTTTCCGCCAGGCCCTGCCAGGCCAGGTGAAACAGAGAAAAGCCGAGCACCTGATGAAGGTTCAACAGTCTGTCCCTAACGCACAGCATCATGGGACATGCTGTGCTGGACAGGGACATGGTGGACTGGTCTTGTTGTGACGGCAGGGACAACCACCTAAGTGAAGAACAGAGTAACAGCTAAAAACTTGATGAAACTCTTTAATGTGTCACTTTATTATATTTCTTAGTGGCAGCAAAAATATTAAAAGGACTCAAGAAACGATAATAAATAAAAATAATGATCAAAACAACAGATTTAATGTAATTTTATAAAAATACGAAATGTGATGTCATTTTATTTTGATGATGTATCTGAATAATAGAAATAATGTGAAGTTTGTATTAGTGTTGTCCTGCAAAGCCCCACAGTGTGAACACAGCCCACAGGCCCGCGAGCATTTCAGGCTTTCAGCTTCATACAACAACATTAACTATCATTATTTCTCCTTCTGTCAGACACAAACAAACATGTGTTATGTGTAGTTATTTACAAGCTCTTGTAAAGGTGGGGGAATATAACAGCCAGGTGAATATGCTGCAATGCTGGATGACACCACAAGGTGGCGCCTCCTTTTGCAACATTGGAATGAGGCTCACCTGTTTCACTCTCAGATTTCGCGTAGCTCACCTGGTTTTTCTGTTTTCTTGCTGACACATTCAGATCAAACTGAGGTTATTGTTATTTTGACCTAAAAATATTAGAAAAATAACCAGATGCTTACTCTACTTATTACTTCCACACGACTGTAATTCATTATTATCAGGAAGTCCTAAAAACTCCCTGAAAAGCCTTCAGTTAATCCAAAATGCTGCAGCAAGAGTCCTGACAGGGACTAGAAAGAGAGCAGATTTCTCCTGTATTGGCTTCCTGTTAACACAGCACCATAACACAGCAACAGAGCGCTTCACTCTCAGATTGCTGGTCTACTCGTGGTTTCCAGGATATTTAAAAGTAGTATGAGAGGCAGAGCCTTCAACTGTCAGGCTCGTCACCTTCAGCAATACTACGATACAGATTTTAAGCTTCATCGTACTGTTGTAGATCTACCTAGCAACTGATGTATGGAATTATATTAAACGACTTTTGACTGTTTGGAATCAGAAGGACGAAGCGTCCTGCAGTTACTGTGAAACAACATAAGCCCTCGTTTAATGAATACATTTATGATTTGGAAAGCAAAGTTTCCCAAATTAACTATCAACAGTAATTGTTTGAGGCAAACTGTCGCTGGATTACTTTAATGCACAAAAATAAATCTTTAAACCAGTTCTGGTTGTGAAGGGCTGCTGTCCTGTTAATCTAAATCTGATGTCTGAAAGCTAAAACTTGATTTTAAATTTCGTAAAACAATACAAAGAATTAGCCTGTCGTCTACAGGTAATTCTCACCTTTCTTGGCAATATGGTTTGGCTTTTTCTTTTATTTCTCTCATGAGAAAATCCAGCAGTCTTCCCAGCATATCTCCTTTTAAACGATCCAGCAATGCTAGGAGACCGTCGAACAGAGAGCCCTCGAGAGAAGCCAGACGACCCATCTCCATGATGCCCAGGCCTCCGGGGACAGCTTCTTCCCCGAGGGAGACCGCCGTCTGCTGCAACTGCAGGAAAAACTGAAGAAAGGAAAAGAACCAGAGTTATAAAATCATGAATATCCCTCACTGGCTCACCTGCAACAGGTCAATGCAGCATGAATCACCACCTCATCACCGTGGAGGGATTTGTGTGTCCCAGTGATCACGGGACTATGTTGTCTGGAGAAATGTGCCTCTGGTAGGGTCTCCCATGGCAGATGGTCCCCACACCCAGGACCACAAAGCACTTCACAGAAGCCTCAAGTAGCAGAACAGTCCAGTGCACCCTACAGGGGCTACCTGGGTCCTACCCTGGAGCCAAGCCCAGGACAGAGTCTCCAGGGCGAGGGCCACATTGGCCAAGGCCCAGCACCTTGACCAATGTGTCCCGGCAGGCTCAGTCCTAAACAGCTGGGTCTGACGTGGCCACAGCTTTGCACCCATAGAGACCTGGAGAATAAGATCAGTGACGATACACATCTCAGTTTGGGAGGCTGAGAGCAGGCTGACCAAACACCTTTTGGTACCATGGAGGCTATGAGACGCTCCATCTTACTGAGAAGGTTGGTCAACCGACACAAGTGCAGCACATCGGTGCAGATGAAGCTGAAACACCATCTAATGCTTCATCACTGGGTGTTCGGTGAGCCCCAAAATTTCAGTCAGCAATCTCCAGGCCACAGTGACCCTTGATGGTGAAAGGGCTTATCCCAGTAACGCCTCGGCTCCTTCATGCATGCCAGGACAGCGGACATGGGGAGGGGTGAGTTTCCCCGCCGATGGCGATGCCAGGCCGCGACACCTGGGCAGGAGGAGTGGTATCCTCCTCATTTTCATCTACAAGGATATCCATGTTAACACCCTTCTCTTCATCTTCTCCGTGCTTCTCCCCAAAGTTGAAGAGCTGGTTGAAGAGAGGAGGAAGTTGATCCTCTGGGGGGACATGGTCCTCGGGGGGAGGGGGGACATGGTCCTCGGGGGACCCCAGCAAGCAGCAGCTGAGCTGGATTCGTCACTGGGCTTTGCTGCAGTGATGCGAAGGAAGGGATCGGCTTTGGGTCACAGCCACTTGCAAATGCTGCTCCCAGATTCTGCTGGGCATTACGTGGGAGTGCTTGCAGGAGTCGGGGTCTGCTTGCAATGCCTGTGCATGCTTGAAGGCAACGCAGAGGGGATGGGGGCCATAGCTGAGATGGTTAGTCTGCACCCAGCTGGACAAGGGCGAAACACGACACCCTTAACCCCACTGGGGTTCATCTGAGAGGATCCAGCGGCTGTACTAAACCTTCCTTTGGCAGCTAGCAATAGCCACAAACACAAAACCAGAAGCTACTTGACGAGCTCGTTTTGTAACACGCAGGTAGCAGTAACACAACACCCACTATTACAACAATATATCAGCTCGACGAAGAGACAATTACAGCATAACAGATGTTCTTGAGAACCAGAAGAACAAGTTCTACCTTAACGGCAGCATCAGTGAACAGATTAAGTTGAACAGACTGAGCATGCCTGGTATGGGGCCTGGGGCTCTTATAGGGGGGTCACCCTGTGTCCTGGACGTGATTGGTCCATCTTGGACAGACAAGCTGGTAGTGACGCTTCCATGATTGGTCACTGCTGCTTGTAGTGAGATACGGAGGAAGGTTTGAAGGAGAACACGCACCACATCGTTTCCCCAGTCTCCCAGGATGGTGGAAATGTAGTTGACGGCATTGAGGATGGCACAATAACGGACACCCAGTGGGCAGCGAGACTCCTCCTTCATCACCTGGAAGGGAAACGAACAGAAAAACATTTAAAAACTTAAAATTGTTTCTGAAATAGCCATAAAACCTTTCCCAGACTGATGAGGAGTGACAACACTACTGTGACCATAACACACCTAAACGCTCCAGACGGGACTGCTTCTGCATTTAGGCTCAGATAATAAGATCAACAGAGAGGTAAACATTGTGTTTTTTAATGCCATTGGGTTTGCAAAGTGTTCTGGAATCCGTTTGCTGCCGTACGTTTTGCCCATCTGGTGCTTAAAAGGTTAACAAAGACTATGAAACGTGTGCATGTGAGTGGGAGCTCAGAGCTGTGGCCACCTGGATGCAACTAAACTGGACTGCACTGAGTGCCTGATAGACCAGCAGTGGATGTAACCAGGTGCAGCAGACTTGAATGGACATCACACTTCATCCACTATGACTGTGAGTGATTATTGTCACTGGGTAAAAAGAGGATTTTTGGAGCAGATGATGGAGAGCTAACCTAATTCCCTGATCTGTCTCATTTGTCAGCTGCTGTTTTGAATGTTACCTGAGTGAGTCGTATACGAAAGTCATCCACGAGCTCTTTCTGCAGCTCCAAAAATTTCAGTTGTGCAGAAGGACAAGGTAAAGTCCGGTACCGCTCTAAGCATGGACGACAGAAATAAAATGTTTATATGCAGTAACAGGAAATAAGATTTTGCATCCCTTCCAAAAGCAGCTCATATTGTTATTTTTTGATTCCTTCTTCACCTGATAAAGTTGATTTACCAGTATAATCATTGCACCAGTATCACTGGTAAGAGGTTGATGCTACCACCATGCTTGACTCTTTATAAGTGGGCTGCACTTTCTATTACAGCTCTGTAATAAAGTGGTAATAGCACGGTAACAGGGGGAAGTTATTACTATGCAAATAAATGAATAACCGCATAATATCCAGGTAATATCATGGTAGCAACAGTGATAATATTACCCTGAAATTATTCAATAGGATAATAAGAGCCCAAAAACTGGGACACAGCTGTGTAATAAAGGGGTAATAGTACAGTAACAAGAATATAATAATGTGGTCATTAGAAATATGAAGGAACGAGAGCTGCAAAATGCAAAACTGCCTGTTTCTCTTTAATAACATATGAATAACCAGGAAACAAACTTTAAAAACAAACTGAGAATAGTAAAAACTACCACCTGTGGCAGTTTCTGTGTAATCAGCATGAAGCTAGCAGTTGGCGCCAACTTCTTCTTCATGTTTATCCAAGGATAAAACAGCAAGTACAGACTCCCAG